ATATATATATATTTAAAATATATAAAACCACACTTTACTGTTTATCAGACTTAAATTCCCTAGTTTCTATTTAAAGGTAACAATCCAAATTTGGTTGTCATTTAAACAGTGTGTAGGGAATTGTACTTGCATCTTCTTAAATGTTAAGTGTAAATATTTCTGTTATAAGGAGAGCTTGCTAAGTAGAATGTTTTATATTGTTTGATCCTGTTTTTTTTTTTTAAGGAAAAGATTTGTTTGATTATCTCCACCATAAAACAACTCAACCGTGGTTTTATGCTCTAGTATATATAGTTCATTACTGCACTGAAAGATGATTTCATGCTGTTAGCTTAAGACTTTCCTTTAAAGTAGCTTTTATATAAACTTAACCTTTAGTATTTATTATCACTAAGGTTTCACCAGTGAAATGGAATATTTCTGAGTATGCCTAGAAATTTAGTTATGTTATTTTTAAAGTTGGATAGGGTATGGCAATATCCTCTTTGTGAGTCACTCTTGTTTCGTATTTTGTATCTTCCGATGAAAAAACTCTACCATTGACCAAAGCTTCTCTCTCCTAAAATTCCTTGTTACTTACTCCTTGGACTCGCCTGTGTCTTTGTAATTTGCCTGCTGCTTATTGAAATAGTGATCTGTCTGCCTTTCAGTGAGTCGCGTGTGGTAGCCTTGGAGATTTTGTGGCAAACAAATCTGATTGTTGGTTTTAGATTTTATGCCTCATTGAAGCCTTTAGTTATTTGAGCCAAAAAGTGGTGATAACGTCTGTGTGTGATGCAACTTTTGACTTTTATACAATTCTATTCTTGAATCAGAAAACCAGTAGAGCAAAGACCTGGTTTCATTCCAGTATTAAGTATATTTCATTAAAGTATACTTTTTCCATAGTAAAAATGTTCACTTTGCTTTCATAGCTAATTCCAATATGGATAATTTACTACTTACTGGCATGAATATTGCTTTGTTTTTACTTGAAGACCTTTGTTTTTACAAAAGCTATGGAATAAATAGCATTGAAATACATATTGTGCTTATTTTCTAAATTCTTACGTAACACTAACAATGACAGGAGAATGAGTTTTCAGTACTGTTTCTATTTTAAAATTACTTTAAAAATGCTTAAGATTTGGGTTTTTTTCTGAGTACATAAATGCATTAAAAAAGAAAATATGTTATAAAATTAAAGAATTATAAAAAAAGACTTGTTCTCTCACCAATAATTCATTAAAAATTATAGTTCTAATTATCAATGAACATGCTCTACTTTTTCTTCAGGTTTGTAAATTTTGTATGGTGAGAGCATTTTGAGAAAATCTCTTTAATTATTAATTATTAGCACATAAACTGTTAATTTCATTGTCAGAAAGTCTGAAAATTTTATGTCCTAAAAACAATTTGACTTAAATTTTCACTTTTTAAGGGGAACAATACAGTGACTTGTTATTTTAAGTTTATTAGAGAAACATGGATAGGAATAAATATTAGTTTTTCAGAAGGTCACACTGAGTGAGTTTTTTAAAAGCATCATATTTAGAGATGCACTTGAAAAAAATGTGTTTCCAAAGGAAAATGTTAACTTAGTTCAGTGGCATTTCTCATGAACAGTTTTGAAGTTGGCAATGTAGGTACATATGTGAAGTATGCATAATTATGTATCCTAAAGATATTAACATTACACTTAAATTTGTACATTGGTTCATAACAGATATTTAGTCTTCCAAACAGAGAAAAGCTTGACACAGTGATTAAATAAAGCATTAGATAATTACAGATATATTTAGGAACATAAGGTAAAAAACAATCAACATGTATTCTGGTGTACTGGGTTAGCACTTAAGCTGTAGAATCAGAGTACCTTTATTTGCAACCTGTTGTTTCCATGTTTCAGCTATCTGACTATGATTTTGGCAAGTTATCTTAATAAAAATGGAGTTAATAAATGAAGTAACTACTTTGTAGACTTGTGCTGAATAAGTATCAGCTGCCGCTATGATCATTATGGTTACTATTATTCCAAGGTAAAAGACATAACTATTCTATACTGTATCTTTACAGAAAAATTTAGCCTTTACTTACAGTTGTTACAAGGCTACATGTCTTCCTGTATGATGGGTGTTTTCATCATTTTTATATTTTTCTGATCATAAAAAATAATGCATATTCACTTTTTTGAGAACCTACCTTTCTCCACCAGTGAACAATATGAGTGTTTTTTCAAGTAATCATTTATAGATCTACCCAAATCTTTAAAAAAAAAAAAAAACAACTATATACCAGTGTATAATATAGTCAGAATACAACTTTGTATCATTTTCCCTGTAGATACCCATTTATGACTGCATTCTCTGGTTGTTGTAAGAGTACTATTGTACTTTTTGTGTCTTTGTCCTCATGTTTTTACGTATTTGCAGTTTTTCTTTAGATGTCTGTCAACATTGTTTTACTGGATAATAGGATATATGCACTTAAATGACACATTGATAGACTCAGCAAAATGCCCTTCCACAAATACTGGGTTATTTTGACTCACTGCTTATTTCCTCAAACTATTACTAATACTTGGTGCTATCAATCCTTTATTATTTTGCCACGTTGATGAGTAAAAGTTTTCATTACATGAATTTGCATTTTAAATATGAGGGAGACCAGGAGCTTTTTATGTATTTGATTATTTACATTTTGTTTGAATTGTCTATTCAGTCCCTTTATCCAAATTTGTCTTTTATTGATTTTTTTTAGAAGCTCTTCATTTGGATATGTTTTTTCTTCTCTGTGAGGCAAATATTTTCTCAGTCTTCTTTACCTTTGCTTATGGTGTATTTTCTTACATAGAAGCTTATGTCTTTATTCCTACCTGTCATATATTTCATTGACAGGTTATGAAGTTATATAGTTTTTTCTAACATTCCAAGATTATAACTTACTCCCCAGTATTTGCTTTTAATAAATTGCTTGTAATTTTATATGCTTAAATTTTTCATCTCTCTGGAGTTTATTTTTGAGTCTGTTGCAGATGATTAAACTTTTCTTCCAAATATATAGCCAAACTTGTAACATCCTCTTATTGAAAAACTCTAGAATTATCATTATTATTTTTACCATTATCCGTATTGAACACTTAGAATTGCCAGCACAATATTGAGTGCTTTACATGTATTACCCCATTTAATTCTTACAATTACCTTCTGAAGTTGGTGCTATTACTGTATCCACTTTACGGATGTAGAAATCACAGGATGGAATCTTAGTGACTTGACAGAAATCATGCAGCTAGATAGTGGTAAGGTTACGAGTCATGATTTGGATGCAAGTAGCCTAGTTCCAGAATCTGTTATGCTGTTATGTGGGTTTCCTGTGCCTCATATTGTGGCACTGTTCCAATATTAACGGTCTTTGATGCGCTGTCTTTAAGCTTCACCTACTCTCTTGGCCTTGACTTTGCCCATTCTCTCCTTTGCTCTCATGCCTTCCTGCCTGCATTTGGTCCTGGCCAGCAGGTCCGGGAGCATCCCTGTCCTCCGTTTTTTGTGCTCTTCCTTTCTTCAGCAAATACAGAGTAATGACTCTCAGTGTTAGAGGCACTTTGCAAAATATGACAGATGTGCCGCAGAATACCAGAACTAAAATGACTATTCTTACCAACCACAAGAAGAGGGACAATGTGTGAATTTGATCACAAATGGAGTTGCTTTTTGTGCTTGTCTTTAACATTTAATTAAATAACTACCACATACCAGGCTAAACTATCACATTAAAATATTACTGAATTAAAAGTTACAGTACATTGGGGCATCTGGGTGGCTCAGTTGATTAAGCATCAGAGTCTTGATCTCAGCTCAGGTCTTGATCTTGGGATTATGAGGTCAAGCCCTGTGTTGGGCTCTGCGCTGGCATGAAACCTACTTTAAAAAAAAGGAGGAAGAGAAAAAAGTTTACAGTATATTAATGTTACTTTCAGAATGAAATTTCTAAATAAAGTGCAGTTAAATGTTGAGGTCTTCATAAGGAGTGGCTGATAGGAAGTTTTTGTTTGTTTGTTTGTTTGTTTGTTTGTTTTTTCCCCCAGTTCTCTGAAACTTCTTGCCTTTGAAAAACTAGTTATCTTTTGGATTTCTTCAAATATGTCTCACCCCTCCCCAAGTTCTAACATTAAAAAACATGCATGAACACAAAAATGGCAAAAGACATGGCACATTTGGGTAAATTTGAAACAGAAATGTGACTTGAATGTACTTTACTGCAACCTGAAAGAGTCAATCAGCTCATTTCTGAGAAAAAAGCCCAATTTTGTCTGTGCCTTCAGCCTCAGCTCTTCTCTCACTTGACTGTTCCTTTGGTGTCTCAGTCTTCAGGAACCAGTATTACTGTGGATATTGCCGTGATGGGTGAAGCTCATGGTCTCATTACCGACCTCCTGGCAGACCCTTCTCTGCCCCCCAACGTGTGCACATCCTTGAGGGCCGTGAGCAACCTGCTTAGCACCCAGCTCACCTTCCAGGCTATTCACAAGCCCCGCGTAAATCCTGTTATTTCCTTCAGTGAAAACTACACCTGTTCTGATTCTGAAGAAAGCTCTGAAAAAGACAAGCTGGCTATTCCCAAGGTAAGTATTAAGGACACGTTCCTGGAAAGGTTAAATTTTTTTTGTTTTGTTTTCTGGGTCTGTTTGTTGTCACCCCACACCCATATGGAAGATTTGTGTCAGTGACTCAGTGAAGACGTGTTGATCATGGTGATCAAAGTTAATAAAAACTTAAACATAAAGACTTGTGTCCTTAAACCTAATAGCTTTCTACAAGTGAAAGCTTTACCTTGTTATGTTACCTTTTTTTTAATTATTATTATTATTTTGACTTTGAAGAAGATTTTAAGATTTTACTCCTCTATGCCAGGCTCTGTTCTGTGGGCTAAAGATGTAGCAGTGAGGGGTGGGGGCAGGAAAAAGTCCCTGCTCCTAGTGTTTAAAATCTGGTGTCTTCTGAAACCCAAGGATGCTCTGCACATGATTTCTTTGTGTGATACCCTTCAGCGTATGCTCCTGGTTTTCCCAAACCCAAGAAGTTTTGAACTCAGAACAGTTTTGATTGATTCTGGATTATTTAAGGTAAAAGATGGCCTTAGTTATTTGTAGAATTCTTTCTTTTTACATGTAAGATCGGAGTTTTACAAACATAAGCTGTAGGAAATCAGATCCTACAGCCAGTTTAGACCTTGCATGAGAATGGGTCATATTAAAGACTAAAAAAAAAAAAAAAGTTTTAAGTCATCTCTGGCACATCCTGCAGTTGTCTGTTTGGTAAACAGGCGTCTGTCCTCTTTAGCTAGTGGTCAGTCAGTTACACCCTTGCTTTAGCTATTCTGAGTCTCTTGACTCAGGAATGTGTTTTTCACACAGCTTTCTCAATTAGGTATTTACATAATTTTTTGAACATCTGCCTCTCTGCAAAAAGTATGGCTAAGCATGATAAGACAGTAAAGGAATGAAGAGAGATTAACTGATTCCTTTCAGTCTCAAAAGAGACATGAAGTTAGGCATCAATCCTGATATGTAAAATGCTTGACCTCTTCTCTTACTATTGAATTACATTCTAAGATGAATATTCAGACCTTTAGGAAATATAGGAAGCTAGTATCAGAGTCATTCTTTTTTTTAATGTTTATTTTTGAGAGAGGGACAGTGCAAGTGGGGGAGAGGCAGAGAGACAGGGGGAGAACACAGCATCTGAGGGAGGCTCCAGGCTCTGAGCTGTCAGCACAGAGCCCGATGCGGGGCTTGAACTCACGAACTGCAAGATCATGACCTGAGCTGAAGTTGGATGCTCAACTTGACTGAGCCACCCAGGAGCCCCTGTCATCGTTTAGATGAAGACCCCAAAATGTTAATTTTGTAATAGTCATTCCTTTATTGAATTCCTGACCACCTAGATCCAGATAGGTAATATTCAGCCAATAGATTTTAATAAATTTGCTTCCAATTTAAAACCCATTTCCTCCCATTATATTACATAGAAGTCAGTGATCAAAAATATGCTTGATAATAAAATCAACACTCCTTCTTCCTAGCGTCTGAGAAGGAGTTTGCCTCCTGGTTTGTTGAGACGTGTTTCATCAACTTGGACAACCACCACCTCAGCCACAGGCCTACCCACTTTGGAGCCTGCCCCAGTCCGGAGGGACCGTAGTGCCAGCATCAAACTGCATGAAGCATCTTCATCAAGGTTAGGCAATGCTCCTGTCGGTTTCATGTCTCTAGAGAAGTTATTTGCCAAAAGGAATGATAAATTGCAGAGGAAAGGTGGACCAACTAATTACAGTTGCTTGGAGGCCAGTGTCAAAAATGAAGATGGTATATGGTTTAAATGCAGAGCAGCACTATAGGGATTAATATTAGATAGTTAGGCTTAAGTTGTGTTGTGTGACCTTACATGTAAATGGGAACAGGGAGTTGAGTTAATGCCCGCCAGTATGACAGGATGGGAAGAGTTGAGCCCAGAGCAAAGGTAGGCTAGATTTTACAGAGACTGAGATTCATATTGAGATTCTTAAATCAAAGTCATACAACCTGATATTTGCAAATTGTTGTTAGATTTCCCCCAGCCCACCAGACCGGTTATCCTAGTATGATATGAAAGGCAAAAGATCAGATCAAAAAGTAGATCGTCATCCTGAAGGTATCTGGATATGTTCAAACATTTGGTGATTTAAAGTTTATTTAGACAAAGGACAAATTGGTGGCTAGCAGAGACAGGACATGGGGGGTGACGTGGGCCAAATAGGGAAAGGGGGTCAAAAGGTACAAACTTTGAGTTTTAAATAATTGTGATAGGGATATAATATACAGCATAGTGACTATAGTTAGTAATACCATATCACACATTTGAAAGTAGCTAAAAGAGTAAATCTTAAAAATCCTCCTCTCAAGGAAAAAAAATTTTTTTACTGTGTGGGGATGGATGCTAACAAGACTTATTATGGTGATTATTTCACAATATATACAAATATCAAATCATTATACACCTGAAACTAATATGTTGACAATATCTCACTTGAGAAACAGAATAGACTTTATGTAGTATGTTAATTAAAATTTTACAAAGTGATTTAAAAGCCAGAATTACCAAAGCTAAAGAAAGATAGTGTTAAGATCTAGAAAGAATTTTGAAGAAAACTTCGTGAAAGAGGTGCTTTTAGAGGGAGCTATTGTGTTTGTCCTTTTCTAGTTAGAATAAAAATAGCATACTTTGTATGAATTCAGTAATTTTGAGAACATTTCCCATACGATTTCAGGTTTTCGAAACACTTGCATCAGTTTTATTAATGATGAAATGACTAAAAAATAACCACATCTTTGTTGAACTCCATGAAGGTAATATTAGAAGTAATTTTCTCCTGATCTGGGCCTTGAATATCAATAAAGCACTATTTTGAGATTGGCAGAGAAATGGAAACCTTTCGAATTAGAACTTTAATGACTAACTTTTCTTTCTTTGTCATTTAAAAATATGTTTAATTGGTTTCTCCCATATTAACATGGATAGTCTAATGAACCTATAGAATCCAAAGCAAACTCAAATGATTCTTTCATGTATCAGTGTAATTCTCCATTTTATTACCTGGACTTCTGTAAAACTTTAAATGCCACCACAGGAGAAGATTACCCAATCTGATTCATGAACATTTCCTAAAGTTTTAAATTACAGGTCTTTGGTGATATATTATTCCTCTGAAAATATTGACTATTGTCAGTGTCTCCAACAGCAAATATTGATAAGTGATACTGGATCATAGTTAAATATTTGTTCCTTAAGAAAATGAATTTTGGGGGTGCCTGGGTGGCTCAGTTGGTTAAGGGTCTGACTTTGGCTTGGGTCATGATCTCACAGTTTTTGAGCTCAAGCCCCATGTTGGGCTCTATGCTGACAGCTCAGAGCCTGGAAACTGCTTTGGATTGTGTGTCTCCCTCTCTCTGCCCCACCCCTGCTTGTGCTCTTTCTCTATCAAACATGAATAAACATTAAAAAAATTTTTTTGTAAAGAAAGAAAATGGATTTTGTTCTCAGTGTATATCTTTAGGGAAGCTATTTTACCGACCAAATTTTCCAGGATTTCTGTCATAGAATAGCTAATGCCCCATGATTTTTTTTCCATACAGTGACTTTGCCAGAAGTCCATTTGTGCATTTTTGAATGATTCCTTTATTTCTGTAATTGTTTGTTACTTCTTGTCACATTTCATTTCTTATATTTCTTTTCTTCTTAGTTAAGTGAGATTAAGGACTGTAACTGAAATTATCATGAAGAGGGTTTCAAGAACTTTTATGAGCTGAACTCCCAGGGATCCTGTCATCCTGCTTAATGAAATAAATACTCATAATCAAATATTTTCAACATAATTTAGGAAGAGTGTAAAATCTCATTCATTTTCTTTGTCCAAGAAAAAAAAATACTTAAAGCTGACTTGCCAGAGTATACTTCCCCCCCTAATTTTACTATTCCTTAATTTCACTATACTATTGAAAATCCTGATATAAAATCTGAAAACAGTACAAATTTTCACCACAATGAGTAAATGAAATTCATTCTGAAGAGAATTTAAGGGAATAACCATATATTAGTGGCAATAGTACCACCATTAACTACAACTAGTTTTGGTGGACTCCTTTGTCATGGGTGAAAACAGTGAAAAGATAGCCATAGATCATCTTCAGCCCTGAATATAAACCAAAGTTAAAAATTCACTTAGAAGACCTATTGATAAAACTACAGATAGATTTCAAAACTGATTTGAGTGTTAGCTCTTGTGGTTTCTTCCCTTTCAGCCTTTTTGTTTCTTCCTTTCCTATGTGCCTATTGAAGACTCTGAGGACTGTAGTTATCAGAAGAACAGAGGTGAGAAGTGGAAATTAGGAGCAACCCTCAGCTTACCTTACGTCCCCTTCAGTATTTAGCTAGGTGATTCACTCCTGGGTAGTTTTACCTACAGCCGGGTAGAAAGGACGCTGGACTGAGGATCAGAAAGACCTTGGCCCTACCACTCAGAGATGCGTGTCCTGAAGAGCAGTCCTTGTCTGAGCCTCAGCATCCTCTGCAAAGAATCCTTCAGAGAAGGGGGAACTGTGGCACAATTGTGAGATAAATCAGGTAGAAGAATACCAGGTGCTTCAAAAAAAAAAAAATAGGCTTGAGATAAGTCACAAAAGTCTGAAATAAATCACACCCTAGTGACTGACTGAACTGACCCCTCCTTCAGTATATTAGGCAGAAAGGAAACTTGGTTTAAAAACAAACAACAACAACAACAAAAACTTAGGATCTGGTAAGACTTTTTGAACCTTGGATGGTGTTGTTATGGGTAGAACTAAGATTATAAAATTTACATTTGTGGAAGGGGATTGAGATCTTCCACAGCAGACATGTACAAACTTTTCCTCTTGTCACCTTGAGGTGACCAAGTAAAGGTTTCCCCAAGCTACTTTCCTCTTCCAAACCCAAATTATTATGTACATATTTATGTGATTGAAACAGCAATCATGAAGGTGTGAGGGTCAGTCCAAAGCTGAAAGCTATTGTGAGGCTCACAGAAGGCAATGTATTTGAAAGTGCCAGTAAATTATAATGCACATATATACATACACATATACGTATATCTACATATACATAAACATATGGCTTTATTGTTTTATTGATATCTGTTTTAATAAATGTTATATTAAGGACTGTATAGCTAGAATTTTAATTTTTCTTCAAGTTCATTTATTAACTTAATTATTAAAGGTATTCTATTATACTTTATAAAACTTTGCAGAATTAGCATATTTTCAATGTTTTCATTAAAAAGTAGACAGCTTTTGAGCTAGCTTTCATAATAGAAAACTTTTTGTGATAATAACAAATATACAAATATAATAAAATGCAGTTAATGTTAAGGTCTTGTCTTTTAAAAGTCTCCATAGAAAAGTAATAACCATTCATTATGTTATGTACTAAGAAATTAAAACTCCTAGGCCAATATACATTGCATAAAAATTCTTCATAGTAATCTTATTGGTCATTCAATCAAGCAAAAGAAGTTAAAGAACAGCGCTGTAAAGAAATAGTGTAGTTATCTATCTCAGATTCTAAGTTTTCTTTGATTTCATTGTTTCAGAATTTTAGGCATTCTGAAATGCCTAGAATGAGATTTCAAGAAGAATATGAAACAAATATTATTTTGTGTGCTTTTTTTCTTAATTGATAATCACTGGAGTTCATTCTATAGTTCATTCACTCTATAACATGTCTTTGTTATAATTTGTTTTGTAAACTGCTATTAGAATTAGGAGAAAAGATGAAGTTTTTAAATACCTAAGTCAATAAGTGAAGAAAAATATGAAAAGGAAAATAAGAAATGAAGTAACATAAGTGTCAGAGTGTTAAATGGAATTCAATATACAGATTTTTTTGAATTGTTTTTAATGTTTATTTATATCTGAAGAAGAGAGAGACAGACCATGAGTGGGGAGGGGCAGAGAGAGGGAGACACAGAATCCAAAGTAGGCTCCAGGCTACGAGCTGTCAGCACAGAGCCCGAGATGGAGCTCGAACTCACAAACCATGAGATCATGACCTGAGCCAAAGTCGGATGCCCAGCCGACTGAGCCACCCAGGCACCCTGTAAGTTATGGATTTTATTAATTGCTAATGTTACTAATAATCAGAGAATATAGGCAGTAGTAAAACACATGCTTAGCATTCTTCCCTTCAAGAAGTATGAAACTATTAGTGCAGCCCCCTAAAAAAGTCCTTTTGTTCCACATTAGCACATGGGTCTATTTTGTATTTAACATGCAGAATTCTAAGTAATTCATGCATAATGTTGCTTGCACAGAGGAAGCCATTTTGCTTATGGGACACCTCTAAATTATGCGTTATTAATTATACATCTTACACGACCAATCTCCACCATTCATGACTCCATACCTCCATCAATTTCAGGTTTATTTACAATAAGCCACACAGACCAGGTACATCCTGCTTACACTGCCAGAAAGGAGGCTGCCAGTCCAAGATTGGCAGAATGTCAAATTGTCCAATTATACTCATGCAAATTATAGATCTGACCTAGTACCAAAATTACAAATGTTTAAAAGCGCAAAGGTATTAGCAAAACATGACCAGGTGTTTTTCCCATGGAGCATTCCAAGATTGCCAACATAGCTTCCTAATTACAATATATTCTCAAATTACAATATATTCTGTTTCAGATTTAACTTAAGGTTTTGAGCACTGCATTCAAATAAATTTTGCTTTAGAACACCTCCAAAATTCATATCCCATTAATTACATGGGTGTGTAATATTCTCCTCCCCAACCTTCCATAGATCCATTAATTCCAGATTTATTTATAGTTATAATCTAGGCAAACCAAGGATAGCTTGATAAAAGCATCCCTAGATGAAGACTCACTGTCCATTACCTTTCTCCTACTAAACAGCATCACTGTGTTTATCAAAATGTCCATCATTAACGTGTTTACAAGGGGATTTGGCTCAGCATCCCTTTCTTTCCAGAGTGTCACCAATAAAAGAAATTGTAGGCTAAATGCTTGTTGCTAACCTTTTCTTCACAAAAAAATGCTTGTGCAAAGAATACTATCTTTGAATAATTTTATAATCACTTAATTTTCAAATTCAGATATACCAAGAATAGATGAGGCACCTGCCATTCATAACTAATGTAAATTACGAACTTTGTTAAAAGCTTTGTCAAATTTGGGGCACCTGAGTGACTCAGTGTGTTAAGCATCCAACTTGGCTCAGGTCATGATCTTGTGGTTTCTGAGTTCGAGCTCTGCATTGGTCTCTCTGCTCTCATTGGAGGGCCCACTTCAGATCCTCTATCTCCCTCCCCAGCTCACACATGCTCTCTTGCTCTTTCTCTCTCTCAAAAATAAACATTAAAAAAACAACTTTGTCAAGTTTTTAGAAAATCTGTGAGGAACATGATTATAGTAGTACACTAAGAAGGTGTCTGGTTCCTACTAACTGGATAAATAGGAAAATTATCTTTCCTCTTTTATTAACCCAGTATGTTTGATGAGTAACTGCTGTATCCCTGAAGCAGAAATTGAGCTCAGATAACTTATTTTTTTTATTTGGAAGTAATGTAGTCATGTTGCTGAAGCTGGACCATGACTCAGATTGGCAAGCTGAATATGGAAATGGTGATTGCGTTCTGGCAAGATCTATCCCAATAATTGATTAATAATTTCTTCATTTTTCTTTATGCTCTGTCTTTATAGTGCTGTTTGTCCTGATTCTTGGAATAACCCAGTGATGATGACCCTCACCAAAAGCAGATCCTTCACTTCGTCCTATGCTGTTTCTGCAGCTAACCATGTAAACTCAAAAAAGCCAAATCGACCAGGTTAGTAGCTTTTTAGGAGAAGAGTTCCTCCTTAGTGAGTGTGTACTCATGGGGTAAACTAAGCCTTAAGTGTTGAAATAAGATTCTGAGAATTCATACTAGGATATGTTTGGTTTGACAATTCTAAAAAGAAAAAGCCTCAATAACCAATTAATTTCTTAAATTTCCACAGATGCTTTCAATTTCTGCTAGGTATCCTATCTTGAACTTATTGGATGAATAGGAAATAAGTATCATCATTGAGGATAATCTGTGGAAGCATCATCTTGTAATATAAAAGCTAATGATGTACATGCCAATTTCAATTTTATTTTTAGTGTTAAAATTAGTTTTCAGGAGTATGGTAGTTACAGGAGTTAAGAAATGCTTCATTTGCTATACATATTATAATTCTTTCAAAGAAATTCTTTTGTTTTTTTAATTTTTTAAATATTTGTTTTAGAGAGAGAGAGAGAATGAGCAGGGGAGGGCAGAGAGGGAGACACAGAATCCAAAGTAGGCTCCAGGCCCTGAGCTGTCAGCACAGAGCCCGACACGGGGCTCAAACCCACAAATTGTGAGATCATGACCTGAGCCAAAACCAGATGCTTAACTGAGCCACCCAGGCGCCCCTCAAAGAAATTCTTTATGTCACTCATCCCCTCATATATAAAGGGGTATATGAAAGGAAGAGGTAATTAAATTTGGAGAAAATACAGTTCAGAACCTTTGAGAGCCCTTTGGAAAAGCCCACAAATTAGCAACGAAAAAACCCAATAGCACAATGGGCAGGAAGTTTTCCTTACCTTTCAAGACTGGTACAAAATGAAATTTGATGTGATTTCTCCCATCTGGTATCTCGAATATAACTCTTGCATGGGGTTTTCCACGTTGGACTCAATGTACACTGTATACTTCTAAGCATCAGCTTCTCCCTTCCCTTGAGCTTCCTTTATTCAACAAATATTTGTGAAGCAATCACAGTCTCAGACCCTGAACTAGTTTGGGGAATGTGGCAGTGACTAAGCCAGACCCACTTCCTCCTGTCACTAGAATTACATTCTCGTGGGAATACAAACAGATCGATAGCCACTACTATTTAGTGTGTTAAAGGCTATGATAAGGAAGAGAGGGAAGACTTTCAAATAATGAAAGATGAAAAGAGATAAGATCCAACACATTGAGAGATAGCTTAAGGAACTTGAGTCTAGATGAGTGGCAAAATTGGCAAGCACAAGGGGGATGGAAACAGACATGCAGATAGGACCTGGAGATCTATGGAAAAGAATATAGATTCAAAATTAAGGACAGTTAAGTATGTTTCAGGTAGGAAAGTGAATGGGTAAAATTACTTCATTTAATTAGAATTTGGGCTGATTCAAGACTGGAATATGGTTTTTGTCAGATTCTTTTGCTAGACTGTCCCCCTCCTAGAATGTCACTTGAGAGTCTGGGGTATATACGATGACCTCTTCTTCTTAGAATGTTCTGACTAGAAGTTTTCACCTCTCAGCACTGCAGAAAACTCTAATGAAATTTTCAGTAGCTTCCGGCGTATGTTCTTAATCTTCTGCTTTTATAGCAGCTTAAGAATTCTCCAAAAGGCTCCAGGGAAAAACTGCCCCCTTCTCACTTGGCCGTTAGACAGTCACATTCTAGCTGCCATGGCGGCAGTCCCAGACTCCAATTTTCCTGTCATTAGCGTCGTGACGTTGCTAAAAGTTCTGCTGACTTGCTTCCTTAATAGCTGCACCCTTCTGCTTAGATTCTTAGACTTCTGCTCCATGCAAATGGTCAGTAAATAATGTTCTGAAAGGAAGAACAGTTCCTAAGACTTTTGCTTACCCTTCCGTGGTATCTTCTCTTTGCTCTCTCTGAGAACCTAGTCCCTCTGAATTGATCATCTTGTCTTAAAAGCTTTTTATTTTTAAACTCTTCTATTTGTTCTTAAAGAAACATGGGTTTATTACAAACTATGGTATCAAAGCCAGAACCAGAAGTCCTCAAAATGGCAAAGTGTCTATGTGGGTCAGAGAAACAGTGCTCACGTTCATTCCACTAATATTTCAAGACACCACCTTGAAGTGGAAACTTTTGATTTTAAAAGAAGTGCATCTCCTCTATTGTTTCTTACGTCTGGAAATTGTACTACTCTCTTCCCCCTTTGATCATCCACTTTCTATTGATGACTATTTCTTGGAATCACGTAAGCAACAAATTTGCTTAAGTCTCTGTTTAGTGTAGGAAGACACTTCCTCCAGAAAAGGCTCCAGGGAAAAACTGGAAAGTATGATTTTGTTAGAATTGCATCATTGACAGAAACCACTAAAAGCAATGCAGGTTTCCAGAAACTAATCTCGTCCTCTCTGCTCTTTGGTAATGTTCATTAAGTCATGTAATTTAGAAGTTATTAATGACCTGAGAAATATGGACCTGAGTAATATGGATCCTCATCTTGGGCTCCATCAAGAGAGAGGAACTGAATTTGAGTATTCCACATTAAGCCGGAGAGAGATTTTAAGGGGGCACTAAAGTCATTCTAGGTCAGTGGGACCCTTGGTTCTCTACAAAAATATGTGCAAATATTTTTGGAGGAAAGCATCACCAGTTAAGGGCTAACCTATCAAGTTCAAACAAATTGGAGCTTATAAGCAAGAGCACTAAACACACATAAAAGACACACACAGGGTTTCTAGCCATGAGTTAGAAACAAACAACAAACAAAAACAACTTTACAGATTTCTAAAAGGGTTGAAATATTTAAATGCTAAAATATTTACATATTTATGTTATAACTTTAAAGTATGTAAATATTTTAAGGAAAATATGAGATCATAAAAAGTAACAGCAATGAGAGAAGACATAACTGCAGAGCAGCTAAATATAACTTTCAGAAATGTAATCAAGGAAAAAGGATAGATTAAATGGAATAATACACTATTAAAGGGAGAAATAGTAAACTGGTGAGTGGAGAATATGAAGAAACTACCTAGAATGTGGTAGAGATGAAAAATGGGGAGTATGAGATTTTAAGAAATGTACGAATAGAAGAAAAGGCTAGTATAACATCATAGTTTTAGTACAGGATAGGAGACATAAATGCTGAGGAAGGGCAGAGTAAAGGCAAAAAAAAAAAAAAAAGTTACACAAAGACAAAATAGTGAAATTACACAACACTGAAAACAAAACAAAAATCTTAAAGTCAGCCAGAGAAAAAGGAAATTTCAGGGAAAGCAAGTCAGTCTGAGAGCGAGCAGAACTATCTAAAATAAAGGGCATCAGAACACAGAACGTTTTTCTTCCAAGTTCTGAGAGAATGTAACGAACTCTAGCAATGATCCCTGAAAATATATTCTTTCTGAGAGAATATAAGAGCCTGAAATTGTGTAGCTGGCACATCTATCTCACAACAGTAGAGGAATTTTCAGATTCCTAAGATATTTTCAGAAAGTCAAAACCTTGCCACCTGCCAAATCTTAACTAAAGGAATTTAGGATGGATGTATTCTAGAAAGCAAAGTAGTAGAAGTCTGAGATCTAATAAAAATGGTTACTAAATTTAAAAACCATCAATTTATCAAATGTTATGTGCATAAATAATAGTATTTTTAGATTTGTAAGTATTTTTTTTAATTTTTAAGGACAGTATTAAAATATCAGACAATAATAATATGTACCATAAGGGATGAAATATAAATGTAAATGTTCTACTTTCTTGTGTAGCTCAGGAAAAGGACTCAGATGAGGAGCCTGAGGCACAAAGATGTTAAGTAACTTGCCCAAGTTCACAGTTATTCCTGAATCTTTTATTTTGTCCCAATGACTTTATACTAGAAGAAAATTGATGACAACAAATGGAGGTAATTTAAAATTAGGATTTTCTTTTTTTGTTGTTGTTCCTGTCTGGCCAAGTACATGACAATGGAAGGATTTGATTTTGTATCTCTCAGTTTCTTCATTTAGGTTAGAAAATTAAAATTATCAAAATAAACAACCAATGTGCTCATTTTGACAGCACATATACCAAAATTGGTGTACAAATGCTGAATCATTGTACACCTGAAAGTGATGTTCCATGTCAATTATATGTCAATTAAAAAAAAGGCTGAAAACTATAGTTAGTGCATTCACTGGAGATAAAGAGCAAATGATGGCACAGACATGAGGAACAGCCTCATCTTCCTGTGTCCTACTCCTCAGATTATACAACTGTAGTCAAGAAGAAAGAACAGAGTACAAAAAGAAAAAAATTTCCATGTTACATACCCCAAAGGCAGATGGTAGAAATTAGAACCCAGGCATGGTGAGAGCCTCTCTCCATTCTTGCCATAAAGTACATAAGGTATCTCCATCATGATTACTTTGGAGGGGATTTCACATTGTGACATACTTAGATTGCTGTCACAGCAGAACTAAATGTTTATAAAATAACCTACATCCTATGCATGCTGAATTCAACTAAACAAATCCCTGAAAGTCTGCCAAGAGGGAAGAAAGTCCATCAAGAATCAGAGAGCTGAAATTCAATTACAGTTCTTCCTGATCAGATGGGCTCTTCTGTTTTGAAACCTTTGTTTTTCTGCATTGATGACGTATTGGTGTTGATTGAGCTAAGTGGGTGTGATCTGTTTGATGTTATTGACTGAGATGCCTATGTGGAAAGGGGCTAGGAAAAGCCCCTTTATGTGGCAAAGAGTATAAGGAAATGGAACCAAATGAAGTGTGAAGAGAATAGGAGGAGGAAAGTAAGAAGTAATAGGCAAGAGAGATAGGGGGATGCAAGCATAGAGAATAAACACTGAAAGGTAAATGTTTCCAGAGGGAACTAATGAAATCTATTCCTTCCACGAATCAAGTAAAACAGTGTATTCTCTAGCTCAATCAATGTTAATATAAATAGTTGAAACAAACCAATTATTATACAATTGCTAATATAAATGGATAAAATCACATAGAAGTCCTTTGATTAAAGCGCAGGAACAGGATATTTAAATATAATTTACATTTTCAAACTTTTTTATT